ACTTTTTAGATGCTTATATTTAGGTATCCCAACTTTTAAAAATTACAATATAGTCATCAAACATTTAGTTCATTTGCAATATAGTCCCCGAAGTAACGGCCGTTTTACTGCCGTTAGAGTAAATTATATAAATGGTCACTAAACTTTTTAGGTGCTTGCATTAAGGTTCCCTAACTTTTAAAACTTGCAACACAGTCATCAATTACATTTTAAACCCCAAAATCCAAAATATTTCAATTACATTCTAAACCTCAAATTCTAAAATACTTCAATTACATGCTCAACCACAAATTCATAGTCCATTCTCAAAATCTATCAGAACAAATTAAACTTGAAGCAGTAACCCTAAACCCTTAAAACATAATTGTTTCAAAAAAAATTAACCAACTATAAGTGAATAGTAAGTGATTATGTTGGGTTTAGGGTTATGTTGAACCTAAATACTCAATTTAGTTTATAAAATAGTTGACTCGGATTTTTTTCGATTTGAGTTTATAAAATTTAAATGAAGTCGAATTGAATTGAATTTTCAAGTTTCTGTTTAAATTTAATTATAAATATTTATCATATTATAATATTATTTGATTCTAATTCAGTTCAATTTATAAAATAGTTGACTAAATTTTTTTTCGATTTGAGTTTATAAAATTTAAATCAAGTCAAATTGAATTGAATTTTCAAGTTTCTATTTAAATTTAATTATAAATATTTATAATACTATAATAATATTTGATTCTAATTTAAATAGTTTTTAACCATATACAATACATATATTTTTTTCATATTTTTTCCATATGCGATATACATATATCATACAGAGTTAGAGACTTGACTCAAACTTAAAACTTAATCCACTAATTACTAAAAGTTTTGAGATATTCGAGTTGTATTTTACAACTCGATTTTAACTTGAATTTTTTTAAGTTGAGTTTATGAAATTACAACTCAAAGTCTTGTATCAAATTTGTTTAATCAATTCAAGTCGAAAAATAATTTTTTCGAATCTAATTGAGTATTGTTCACTTATAGTTGGTTAAATCTAACTTTTAAATCCTAAACCCAACATAATCACTTATTGTTATGGACCCAAAATGAACTAAATGTTGTTGATTATGTTGGGTTAATTGGTGGGGAAATTTAACATTTAGGGTTATGTTTTGAGGGTTTAGGGTTACTATATCAAGTTAGTTTGTTATGGTAGAGTTTGAGAATGGATTATGAATTTGGGGTTGGGCATGTAATTGAAGTATTTTGAATTTGAGGTTTAGAATGTAATTGAAGCATTTTAGAATTTGGGGTTTAGAATGTAATTGATTATTGTGTTGCAAGTTTTACAAGTTGAGGGACCTAAATGCAAGCGACTAAAAAGTTCAATGACCATTTATATAAATTACCCTAACGATAGTGAAACGACCGTTACGTCGGGGACCATATTACAAACGAACTAAATGTTCAGTAACTGTATTGCAAGTTTTAAAAGTTTGGGACCTAAATGCAAGCATCTGAAAAATTCAGTGAACATTTGTATACTTTACCCTAAAAAATTTAGGTAATTGGTGGCTCTCCATTCAAGGTCAGAGCATACATAAGATCTAATTGTGATTTACGTAAGAATTTATAGATTACTCACTAAGAGTGACAGTGGTAGGATTCGAACTTAACCTTATAAGCTCAAATTCCTAAATCTCAATCACTTATATCAATACTCATTGGCACGAAAGATGATATTTTGATAGTCGTGTTATTGGTTTATTTCATTTCTTCATATATTTTTTTTAACATTTCTCTTTCATTTTTATAAATAGTATTTCTCTAATTTCTATTTAAAATATTTATTTTATTTTATATATTTTATAAAGATTAGGGTGTTCATGGTCAGTTAACCGTACCATTAAATCTAAACGGTCATTTAACCGTTTGTTAACTGCTAACGTTTAACAATTATTAACGGTTTTATTTTTCAAACTTTCTTAAATTTTAAGATGATAAAAACATATATATTTGTAAAAATCTTATTTATTTGTAAATCTATTTTATTGATTATATATATATATATATATATATTACAATGTATATTCATTTTTTTACAGTTTAAAATCTTACGTGTATATTTATATTTTATAATTTAAGATAATGTATTTATTCCATATATGTTTGATTTAACGTGATCCTCTATAAGATAAACATGATAACTAAAAAATAGGAGGAATTATTTTGATTTTATTTCTAATTCTATTCTCTAAAAAATATAATTAATTAATTTATAGTTTATTAACGGTTAACCGATAATTAACCATTTATCAAAATTTATTAACCGTAATTGTAACCGTTAACTAATATTTTTAACGGTTCAATTAACCGAAACCGTTAAACCTTATAGGTTCAATTAATTAACTTATAAAATAAAACAATCACATCGATTAATGATTACGATTAACGATAACGAATTAATTTCAACAATTCTAATAAATATACATACTTTTATGTTTATTTATTTATTGTTATTATCCTTGATTCTTCGATTAGCGGTTATTTCATTATTTTTGTGATATCTTTATTTTGAACTTTTAAATAAGTCCTTTTATATTGATAAATGCATGTGATTAGTTACATATATTATATTCAAGTTATAATAAAGTAAATAGTCAATGTATTATTATATATTTTTTTTTGTTAATATGAATAATACTTATTTTTTTATCAATCATAATAATATTTGTTTCTATGTTTAATTTATCATTTTTTTATTTTATTGGTTCTTATAATTTTATACAATTAATTTAAATTGATTCGTGTTGTACGTCTAATTTTAGTAGATAAATTTTTTATTAAACTATTTAATTAGTTTTAACCTTATAAATTAAGAGATACGGGTAGAATATTCGTTTGTGATGTCTTATCTTGTTAAGCATAATTAATAAATTGTTTTTACAAATTTAAAAGAAACAATAGACGGAAAATGTTAAATAAAATGATATTTTCTTTTAGAAAAGATAGTTCATTTATTTTTAAAATTATTAAAGATAATATATTAGGATTTCTTTAAATATTAATGTTTAACTTGTAATTATTACCCAGGCTAAAACTTATAATTATTTCTTATGTATAAAAGAAACATGTCAACACCACTTGAAATGGTGTTTAAGATTTCCCTATTAACACCTTAAATCTAGAGTTAACGTTCCAACGATGACATTTTCCTTCACTCATATAAAAATTATATCATATTATAATTTTGATTATATTTTATAGATTAATATGAGCTTTTTTCGCCAAAGCTATTCTCGTCAATATTATTAAAATAGACTCCATAAATGGTTGATTCCACGAGATAATGTTCTCGAACTTTTTATTTCACGTGATAATGTACTCTCAAGATTAATTGCTGAAGTAGGGCGAAATGCACAATTGGTCGTAGGTCGCCATGCCTTCCGGGCGACCTACGACGTGGCAGCTTCCGACGAACTCACAGAGAGAATAAACGTTGATTGAACGTTGCATGGCACATGCAGAAGCCAACCCATAGGTCGACATGCTTTCCGGGCGACCTAAGAGGTCGCCATGCACTCCGGGCGACCTTATTTATAGGTCGCCATGCACTCCCAGCGACCTTGTCTTTTTGCATGGCATATTTTTGCACGTCCCCTCTTGCTCCCCGTTGCATGTCGTCCCCTCCTGCTCCTCGCTGTATGTCGCTGCAACTATATGGGCTGCAATTGCAGCGTGAAATCAGCTGCTTCATGCAGCAATTATTGATGCATGCATGTGAACCATTTCAGCCCGTGAATTGTATAATTATTGGTAAAATAATTGAGGCAACTTGTGTTATATATGGGAGGTGGTTAACGTGAGAACATAAAAGAAAGAAAGGGAGAATAGATTGCAGCCGAAGAAAGGGAGAATATAGTGCACCCGAGAAAGAAAGAAAGAAAGGGAGAAAGGAAAGGAAGAAGAAGAAAGGGAGATAAAACTCTTGTGAGGTAAACTTTTATTATTTAAATTAGTTTATTATTATAAATTTTTAGTTTGTTAGTTTAAGGTTTAGGGTAAAACAAAAATCAATTAATTAGTTTGTTAGTTTAGGGTTATATGATTGTTAGTTTAAGTTAAATATATTATACATAAATAAAAAATTATTTAATTAGTATGTTTGATAGTTATATAGTTAAAAATAATTAATTAGTTTGTTTTGTTATTCGTTAGTTATATAAAAAAATTATTTAATTAGTTTGTGTTAGTTAAATAGTTAAGTTATATTTGTTTGTTGAATTTATATTATATAAAAAATTAGTTAGTAATATTAGTAGTATATTACAATGAAAAAATAATTTAATAGTTTTAGTTATATAAAAGAATATTTTATTATTTGTTTAAAGGTTTAGCGTTTACGTTTAACTTATATTTTAAAAAAGTTTACTTTATAAGTTTATTATATTATAAGTTATTATATTAAATTTTTTTGTTGTGTTGTAAATTAGTAAGTTAATTAGTTAGTTTATATTAGATTATATTAAATGATTTTTTAAATATTGTTATTTAATTTTTTTTACAAATTTATTCCAATGGCTGACCAAATTCCACTGCTGAGACTTGACAATGAACATATTTTAAGTCACTTGGGAATAATGGTGAATAAAAATATTTGTTTAATAAATTATAATTAATAAATATTTGAATATTATTTTATGATGATTGTGATAAATATTTTGCATTATCTAATTGCAGGAGGACGAGCAGCGAGTCATTCGTCTTCGGCTACATAAAGTGCCCAAGCCACACCCATTGATTGAAGAAAACTTGCAAGAGGCTATATTTTGGTATGTAATATTTGTGCGAGATTACAAGTTGGTCCCAGGTTTGATCAGTGCGTTGATTGAATGTTGGAGACCAGAAACGCACACGTTTCAATGTACGATAACTCTGGAGGATGTGGCAATGCAACTCGGGGTCCAAACTAATGGGATGCTGGTGGTAATGTCACATGAGTTTAATAATGTGACACAACTTTGCAGCTTGTTTCTTGGGAAAGCACCCGTACCCTAAACTTTACAACATGGACATTAATATGACATTTGATGCAATACTCTTTAATCGGCAGCGTAATTCATTTTTTCCTCTGAATTGCACCCCAACTGAAAATTCACCAGAATTATCGAATGATTCAGTCATTTGGTACGGAGGTAAATGTGGCATGTCTGGGAATTCAGGTGCCCTCATCGTATCATAGTCTATCTCATACATGTGAGGAGTAGCTTCATACGGTGTCGGAACTTCATCAATTGCACCTCCACCAAAAATATTTTCATCGTCTCCCAAAACGGGTTCTTCGGTTTCTTCGGTTTCTTCATCTTCGCTTGAATCATCATGAATTTCTCCCAATCGATTTTCAGCATCAATATCAACAACCAATTCTGGTATGTTTCTCGTCTCATACTCTGTTGCTGCAGATGTCCCCCCGACTTCATTTACACTTTCCAATAGTGCCATAAAACTGTTCGGGAACCTGTATGTCGGCTCCTCAAACTGATTATATAAAGCTATTTCAAATAGATTTTGAGCCACACCTCTTGATGACCCAGGAACATCACATATGTTACGCACATCAACAAATAACTCAATAATTGCTATATTGGTTGACTCATGTAATCCAACCATGGTTCCAATATCATCATCTTCTTCAAGTGGAATTGCAGCATATCTGACTGGGTTGAGGCATATCATAAACCTATACCTCAAACCATCAACTGCAACTCGAATTTTTCTTTCTATCTTATGCTTCATTTTTATAAATGTGATGTCTTTTTTGAACATCATATTTATTGGTTTTTCAGGCTGAAAAACTACTCCGACCTCATTTTTCATAATCTGTCCATTATAATGGATAATCGTAAAAAAGTTGTTGCTCATTTTCTCTACAAATAAAAAAATAAATTAATTTAGATTAAAAAATTAGATAAGATAATTTCATAAATAATTAAATCATTAAATATAATATAATATACTATTATATTAATGATCAAATAAAATTTGTTATTTAACTTGATTGATTACTAATATTACTAATAATGATTTAATAATTATTATTAATCTAATGATTTGATATTTAATGATTTAATAATAATATGATTTAGTCATGTTTACTAATAATTATTTATTATAAATATTTAATGATTTAGATTTGATATTAATCATTTAGTAATGATTACTAAAAATAATGATTAGTTTGATAATATTTTTTATTTTTTAAAAATATCAAACAAATTTATTAGGCAAAACTGTCGAGATAATGTTCTCGAAAGAATTATTTCGCGAGATAATATGTTGGTCGGATTATTTCATTCAATTAATTTTTATTCCTTACTAATTTACACATACAATATAAATTAAACAAAATATTTTTTTAAAACAACACTAAATATTTTTAAACACAATATTTTTTTAAACGGAAATTATCTCGCACAAATTAGTTTATATAATCTAATATAAAGTTACTAACTAACTGATTTACACATACACTACAACAAAAAATGGACAACAAAAAATAATAAATTATTCGCGTATTTATGTCTTATTCCTTTCCTTTCTTTTCCTTCCTTGTTTCTTTCTTCGAATCAATCTGTACGTGGGCAAATGTTGTGAAATAATACCCTGTATGTGTAAACAAAATATTTATTTAAACAACAATAAATTAAACAAATTAATTTTATATAATCTAATATATTATAATATAACTTAAACTAATAAACTATTTCTTTATTATAATATAACTTAATTAAAATAACAAACTAATTAAGCACTAATTAATTTTTTTTATAATATAACTTCAACTTCAACGAACAACCTAATATACATTTAAAGACACTAACAAATTAATTAAATATTTTTTTTATATTTAATAACTTAAACTAAGAAACTAATTAACTAATTTTTTATATAATATAATATATAACTTAAACTAACAAGCTAATAATTTATACTAACAAACTAATTAACTAAATTTTAGTTTTACCCTAAACTAACAAACTAATAATTTCATATAATAACTAAATTAAACAATAAAAAATTACCTCACGAACTATGTTTGAGCCTTTATCTTATTTTCTTCTTCCTCTCGGTAAAATTTATATGTGCTTATGCTTATGCTTCTGGTTCTGCTTCTGCTTCTATCCTAAACCCCATATCCTTTATATAAAGTAAATGAGCGTTGGACAGAGTCATTAAATTTGACTGTTGAAGCAAATAATATTAGCATTGAATCGTGTAACTATTGAGCATTGAAAGGCTGCAATTGAACATCAATATTTGTTGCATTTAGCAGTTAAATTAACGCTGCAATAATGCAGCTACGGATGCAACGCATGCAGCTACGGATGCAAGAATCTCCCAGCTATGGATGCAACGCATGCTTGAGGGAGCAGAGGGTTAAAGCTTGGTCGCGGTGCAGAATCTCCCAGGAGCTTGGTCGCCGAGACTCCATGGCGACCTACCATGTCGTCGGGACTCCATGGCAACCTACACCAATTCGACGTGCATGGCCCATGCACAGCTCCCATATGCATGCATAGCTTGGCATGCACAGCTCCCACATCCACTCCTTAGTCGCCCGGAGTGCATGTCGACCTCCTTGGTCACTATAAAATTCACCTTATCTCAACAAATAATATGTTCAAAGCATTATCTCGTGGATTTTGCACTCAATAAATAGCTTCAGTTTTTTTTCTTCTTATTTACAGCACTGCAACAGTAGCAGCAAAAGGTAAGCAATGAATCGGCTGGCTAAATTTCCTTCTTTTTTACCTCCCCATAGAATCTCAAAACCCCAGACCCTTTCCCCCTAATAAAACCCAAATCAACTCTCTCTCGCAGTAGATTCCAGAAAGGCAAAGGAAAAAAGAGCAGATCTAGAGCTGCACATCTCTCTTTCTAAAACCCATCTCTTTTCTTCTATCTTCTCCTGCTATAGTTTCAGAGATTTCCACGGACCACACCTTTCTCTCCAACTCATATATATATAAATATATACATACATATAGCATCCATATATATGTGTGTGTGTTTCAATATGTTTGTGAAGATTGAGTTTTTAACGACCAAAGGAGGTATCTTTATAAGTTTATATATGTAATAGTTTTGTTATTTTCATCGTCATTTTGGCTACCACAAGAAGGCAACTACCGTCGGACTCTGGAAGAGCCTTTGCAGATTGGGCGACTTCATCGTCCACAGTAATCCGAGATGGCCCCGATGACCTTTCCCTCGGCTTTAATGCTAACGCCTCCGCAGTTGCTGTTCCCCCTGGATCCACCAACACTCAGTGGCCACCCTCGGCTCGTTCAGTCAACTATGGGATTCCCCCTGAAACGGGGATGGTAGGTCTCCGGGATTTCGTCGTCGTTGCTCCGGCTTCCTTTAACCACCATCATCATCACCATCATACTCAAGACCCCATCATGTCAAACGATCAAATCAGCGGTCCAAATGCTTCGACGGCGCTTGGTGTGGGCGTTTTCCCACTTCTTACACCAGCTCCATGTTTAGCTTCACTAAATGTGGAAGACCCTGATTTGTTCAATAACAATGATCGTAACAAGCTCAGTGGAATGCAGCTATGGCAAAATTCTTCCCCTCAATATTATCTTAAAAAAACATCTTCTTCGTTCCCTGACAAGAATAATTTGATCCAAAGTAGCGACGGCGGTGGAGTGGGAGGTGATGGGAGTGGTGGTTCGGGTTCAAGCTCGACGACCACGTGTCAAGATTGCGGGAACCAAGCTAAGAAGGACTGTTTCCATAGGAGATGTTGCTTTGGTTGTCATACTCACGTGAAGAGCACGTGGGTAGTGGCAGGCGGTGGTTAGGTGGTTAAATTTTCGAGAGTTAGTTATGTATAAATTCTTATAAAGAGATCTTTATTTTTTAGATATATTTTATTTTGGGTAATAATAGTGACGTTTTTTGACAAACGTCGCAATAGATCTATGACATTTTTTCAATAAAACCGCAACAATAGTGACGTTTTATTTTTGAAAAATGTCATAATAGGTCCATATATATATATATATAGTGGCGTTTATTGAAAAACACCACTATAGATATATTTTTTTGGGGCCAATCTTTTGGGGGCCTGCACTGTCGCGCCATTCGCACCGCCCCAGCCACAGCACTGGGTAGTGGGTACCTGCTGATAGGAGAAGAGAACGTCAGCTCATGGCGGCTGTCGCCACCATAGTCGGTGCTGACTCATCGGGGTCTACTTCCGAAGTCAAGAAACCGAAACTTTTAACTTCGCAAAACACAACTTCCCATACATCAACGTCAAACACTACTAGAAGCTTTGACACTAGCTCAAGTAACCAAGGTTAGTTTCTTATCATATTGCTTTTGTTTTATTTTGGTAGTTTTTTTTGCTGAAGTTACTGTTTGCAGATACTGGTTTTAAAGAGTCACTGCCGGGGAAAGTACGTGCGCCGGCGGTATTCAAGTGTGTAAGAGCATGGCCGGTCCTGACATTTTAAGGGCCGTAAAATAAGAGATAAGGACCATAAAAAAATAAATTAAGAATAAATTTCGGTAAATGTCAAACAATATTTTTATTAAAAATTACATGAGTAGATTCTATTACATTAACCAACATTATTTTACCAAATATATAAAGAGACATCACAATTTTTCACACAATTTACTCTTATTATGTCTTCAATCATCTCTTAGAATCGTTTCTCTCAATCGAAAATTGACATCTCTCACCTACGAAACAACATACACAAATAAAATATAAATAAATAGGCTAATGACTAAATACAAAATACGCGATAAATATTAGGGTTTATACGAACTAAAAGTAAATATAATGGTTTGTTAGATAAGAAATGAACCAATAAAAAAAGCATACATTCAAACAATAAAAAAACACTGAGTAATAAGTAACCTTTGAAATCTATTATTCCTTGAAGATGAGTTTACAGTGTCTTTGTAAGGATTTTTTTCGAATCCCCTTTACATTATGTTTGCTTGGGCCTTTAAATACCCAGTTACAATCGAATAAAAAACTATTCCACTTCCTTATGTTCTGTTTTTTTTTGCAGGTGAGTAGGATGTGTTGGAGCCCGTTAATATTTTTATATATCCTCATAATATGCTACTCCCCATTATTGGTAGAGAAAAACTAAACTAATATCCCTTGCTTGGCGTGCTCCCGGATATGCGTGAGTGGGTGGGAGTATGGACACTAGTGTATAGTGGAGCATGGGTGAGGTCTTGATCTGTTCAATTATGGTGCTTCACGTGGGGAAAATGCATGGCAAAAGATGGGTTTTGAATAAAAAAATGATGTGTAAGAAGCATGGGGTGGAGTTTGAAATAGAAAAATGGTGTTTATAGTTAAATTATGTAAAAATATTTTTTAATTATTAAACTTAAAACTATTTTCAAGAATGGCCCCCCTCCAAACCTGGGCCCTAGGCGGTCGCCCTCCTCGCTTACGCTCAAGGTCGGGCCTGTGTAAGAGTGACGGCGATGGAGGACGGTGACTATGAGTTTGCATATCAGGCATTTGTTAAGATTGGTGGACGTGTGTTCAAAGGGTTTCTTTATGACCATGGAGTTGAAGGAAGAGATGGGTTCCCTAATATATCTGATTTGTAATTGGGTGGTGGTTGTGGAGGGAATGAAAGAAATGGTGGGTCGCCATCATCTCTGGATCTCAATCCTTCTGATGTTTATGCAGCCACCGGAGGTTGCTTGCTTAGTGGTTCAAGTTATGGTAATCCAATAAAGTAAGATCATCTTCCCAAGTAGTGTATTGGTCTAAATATGATCGCATTGTACCCTAATTCTTCTTTTGTAGACTTACATCCTTATTAACATATGTTTTTTTCTTCATTTTTTCATGAATTTCATCTGATTTTTGGCTTTGATTTTTCTCATTTTCCATGTCTATTTGCCTTTGAAATTGCACCAAGAGGATCACCGTATTTGTTCTTGAAATTTGGATTCTTGAAGCTGTTGCTTTTGTTTTCTTTTCTTTTTGTTATTTGCAAAACTGAAATCCATAGAGTAAGGGGAGGTTTGGTTTATAGAATGTAACATTGTGTTTGTAAATTAGATCAATATTATTTTGAGAATATAGTATTATCTTATTTAATATTTTTAGTAGGAATATAAGACTAAAATTTTGATAAGAAGAATATAAAATTAATTTAATATATATTTTTATTAAATTATCTATGTGATATATGTTTTTTTGAATAAGTTAAGTTTTAATATTAAATTATGAATATTTGAATAGAAATTCATAGAAATACTTTAATTGTTACACCATCTAACTTTTGAGAAAAATACATTTTAATGTTATAAAATAAGAGTATATATTTTTATCCTAAGATAAAATATTAAGGGCCAATGATCAAATATTAGAAATATTTTTATCTTAAAATAAAACACTTATAACCAAAATACTTTTAAAATGAAAAACCCAAATAAATATTTTAATAAACATTGGAGGTTAATTTTAATATTGTATTTTATTTTTCTTCATGGTAGCAGACTGGTGCCCAATTCTAAACCCATTGCTCGACCTATCTTAGCAGACTGGTTCACATATTAGATCATGGCCTAATCTGCATTTTAAGTTAAATTATTTGTCATATTTATTTACTAAATGTTATATTAGAGAATGTTCCTGAATTCTTTATGTGATTAGAAGGTGAAATCACAATATGTGAGACGAAAATAGAATAAGATAATATATACTTTAATAATTATTATATGTAATGATTCGATTAATAAAATTATGTTTGATTCCTCAACTTTTGTGAGGATACTCCTTTAATTAAATTCATAAAACAATTAATTTTTTCTTTTTATATTAATAAAAGATACGTATATATTTTTAATAAGCATTGTATAGTATCTAAAAGGTTGTTGACTAAAAAGAATATTTTTACATAGTTCAGGGACCTTGTGTGCTTTACACAAAAAAGTTACTCACTCTTCATGTAGTTTAACCATTTATAAATACCACATATTTTTGTATCTTCGTTTTCATAGCTACCCCTTTGTTTTGTTAGGGTATTAAACTTCTCCCTCGTTCTATGGGATTAGAAGAATAATTCTTTGGCATCTCCGACCCTTATTTCCTTTATAGAACTAGAAGACATTGTTCTTTAGGTCAGTAAGGGCTGTAAATCAGAAACAAAAAATCTAGACAGTCAAAACCATGTCTTCAACAACCGAGATCGTCGGCGAACAACTCGCCATCGCTTTCTCCGATCTCTCCCTTCAAGATCAGGATCAGGTGCTCATTTCTTATTCCTAATTTTGTATTTTTGCTTAGCCTGTCGAGCTAGATCTGCTTGATTTTTCAGCTGAAATGAAACCAGACTAAAAGAATGGACATTTCTTTGATTAATAGTTATGCACTGTGTAGTAATTTTGAAGTTTATTTTCTGTGAATTTGTTCAATGGTCTTGATTATGTAACAGTATTGTTTTAATAAGTTGTTTTGGTCAATTTTTATTAAATATTTTTGTTTGGTTTCTTTGGTTTTTTGTTTAGGAGATGAACAATAAAGGGGCTGTTAGGGAGGAGAGGTGCCAAAGTCATGGTGGAATATGTGCGATATGTTTAGATAAGATAGTTCTACAGGAAACTGCACTCATAAAAGATTGCGAGCATGCTTACTGGTTTGTCTAATCTCTCTTAACCGATATTTATAATTATTGCTTTTGGTTATGTGTTCTGTTCTGTTTCCTCTTTCGCTACTTATCTTCAAAATTTAAATCCTTCTTGCTTTTGCTGGAAATTTCAATGATTTATTTCGTTATTCTCATTCTAGCTGTCTGTCTGGCTTTAAGGTTGCTGATTTACCCAAGTTTTTTTAATACAATTTTTTTGGACATCAGTTCAATTATATACTAGTCTTGAATCTTATTTATTGTAATTCACTCCCCCTATAATTTTGGTGACTGTTTGGCACCAACTCAAGGGGGTTAGTGTCACAGAAATAGTTGAGGTCTACGGTGTTGTTATTTTGTGAGAGAGAGAAAAATGAAGATTTAGTGGTGGCATGGTCTGTAATGCTCATGCTGATCTCACCAATTGGGGAAGGGTGTGGTTCTCTTGTTATGTGCTTCTGGAGACTGTCATGTTAATTTGTTGGCATATGGTTCTAGGGGCGAATACGTCTCCTCTTTTGTGAGACATTTGTGTATATGATGTGCGGCAAATATAACAAAAGTTTTGGAGTAGAGATATAATGTTGATTTCAATATTTGTGCCCTTAACAACACCCTTCTAACAATAAAACTAGTTGTTTGATGTAAGTTAGCATTCAAGACATTGAATGCTTGAATATGTTTATCACAGTTTTATTCTTTCCCCTGAGACACATGGCACTATCTTTGGTGATTTAAATTCTGTTTTCTATTGTTCTATTTACATTGCTTGTCAAGAAATATTATTGCCCTATTAAAGGTTTGGACTTTCGAGTGAGATCTGAAGAAGAGATGTCAAGGGTGCATGTCTGAGACATGTTTTTTTAATAAATGTTTTGTTCTAATCCTTTCTTCCTCATTTTTTATTTTTTAATTGTTTATTTTGTTTCGAAATTTTATGATGCCTTGCATGCTAGCTATGACTATGAGGCCTTACCCTTTGCCTCAAAGCGTGAGTTCATTGGAAATTTCATTGCTGTCATACTGCCTTTTGAAGTCTTGGTATAAATTGCCAAAATTTAATAGAAAAGGTATGAGATTCATAATCTATCATCATTTGCATGTTTCTGCTATATCAATAGGTACGCCATTGTATGTTTTGGGGTTCCACTGATTTATATCTCTAAATGTGTGCTTTGCTGTCTGGTTCCTATGAACTGCCAAAAGTTGGTTTTTGTTGAACTAGTAGTATATTTTGAATAAGACTCGAGAAATAAGTTATTGGGAAATTTATCATATTTTGAGAAACACGTGATGAACAGTTAGTTCCGTTAGCTTAATCTAAATGTCCTGCCATGGATTCCGATGACATAACAATCTGTAAAACCAGACAACCCTAGAGGAAAAACTAGAGGAAAAAGAAAGTTCTAGTATTTAAGAAAAATGTAAAATATGATACTGGGCTCATGGAATATGTAGTTGATTAGTAGTTGCCTGCCTTGGTGTTGGCTATAGATGGGTTCCAATTTATCCGACATTATGGTGTAGGAACATGTCCTTTGGGGGTAAAACAATTTGTACAGTGTGTTGATTCTAGTTTGGATGGTTATTTAGTTTTAATGAATTATTAAACATTTTATAACTTTTTGGAGATTATCAAAGTTCGATTTAAAGACTTCAAGCACTAAAATTGTCTAACCTCTGTTTAATTACTATTCAGTTATTCTGAGTCTGCGGGTAGTAGTTTTTTGTCTGAGCAATGTGTTCAACTACTACATTAAAATTTAGCATATGAGTTGCAAAATCTAGAGTATTTAGGAAAGAAGTAGATGAGGTCAGGGCTTCTTTCTCTTTTTGTGTATTTAGGAAAGAAGTAGAAAACAGTTTTCCTTTTCTTCATATATTCAGATCAACTTCTGTTGAGAGTTATCAAAATAAGTTATACTTGTTAGGATTTGCTATCTACTTCCATTTGTGGAGTGCTACTTCTCAAATTGGGTTATATGTATTGTTTTTTTAGAATTACCACTCAGGCACTCACTGGTTGACTTATTTTACTTTGTCAATGCAGTATCTAGTTGGGAATTTATTGTTTTAACTGTTTCTGTATTGCAGTGTGATTACATTTGTCATTTTCTACACGTTTTATATTTTCAGTGGATTGGAATGGGATTTCAGGTTTTATGGGTAATTTGCACTTTGTTCTTGCAGTGTAACATGCATCCTTCGATGGGCATCATACAGTAAAATGCCTACATGCCCTCAGTGTAAACATCCATTCAAGTCCCTCAATGTTCATCGCTCACTTGATGGAAGGTAATATTAAATCCTCCATTCTTGATTTTTTAATTGTCCTTGTCATGTTGGCATTTCCAAGGGAGGGAATGCTTGTGTCAGCATGAATGAGTCCTACTAGGGAGTTATTATTTCTCGACGGAAGCTATTTATTTGTTTCTTCTGACTGTCGACTAAGTCAGATTCATTTTTGGATGTCGCCTTTTGCTTTATCAGGATCAATGACTACATGTTTGAGGAAAGCGTGTGCCTGCTTCTTAGAGCCACATGGTTTGAACCTTTGAATGTGGAGGAACATGAAGAAGTATATGATGATGTGCAAGATTATTATTCCTATTATCCTTACGAAGATGAGGACGAAGAAGTATATTACACCAGTTCACCTAGTCTCCGCATCGGGAATCGGAGATGGGGTGATAATGGATATGTAAGATCAGGGCGCCGAGAAGCCAGGCCTTTACAACAGTCATCCATTTTCCAGAATGCTGCTGCATCATCTTCAACTTCAAGTGAGCCAAAGAAGAAAGAGGTTTTGAAAAATACGATGGGACGAAGGGCAAAGAGGGCACTGAAGCGGGAAGCAGAGGATAAGGCAGCGGCAGCAAAACATCAAGAGCATTTGATGAGGTTGGGGCGGAAGTGATTTCTTTGATGCAATGTCTTTTTAGAGAACATTGTACCAAAGTAATTTGGGTGATTCGATAAAAAAGAATTCCTGTATTCTATCCCCGCTTTGTACAGTATTTTCTTTTCTTTTCCCCTTCTCCGGAACAAAATAATGCGGACTGCCCCTAAATGGCCTTTGACTAGGTAATATGGAAAACTACTGGGGTTTTTAGAGCACACTTTTTTATGTAATCTTCCAGATATTAAACTACAATTATATGCATTGAACATAATATAAAACATAAATTAGTGTATAACATACAATATGGGAAAAATAATGATAGAATGTAATAAAACACATCAAATGCATGAATTTATAAAGTGATTTTAGTGGTGAACGAAGGCGATGTTATTTTTGGATGTCTTAGATTCAAGCAACGGCTGTATTTATAGAGTATGTGCGTTGTCAATAATTAAATAAGATTCTGGACATAAATCATTTGAAAATGTTAATCATATTACTAGATCTTTAGGAATTTAAATGATTTTAAAACATATTTAAAAATAAAATAATATTTTTCATTCTAACTTTATTATTCCTTTTATCCTATAAAAATGTCCCTTTTGTATTTTAAAATTGTTCCACTAAATTGTCTTTTTGAAAGAATAACAACTTTTACTAAATACATTTCTTTTAACTTTTCAAGAATAAAATTGTCATTTTATTTTTTTATAACACATCTTACATAAATATTTTTTTTCTTAAAACTACGTGAAAAGTCAACAATGGACAATAAAAATGAATGAGACGGAGAGTAATCAATTATTTTAACTCTTAAACTTTTGTTATATGACCTTTTATAACATTTAAACTCGGTCTATAAAATTTAACGAAACTAGAATATCACATTAGACCATCATAATTACGGATAAATAATTATTTTCATAATAGTTTAAAAATGTGTTAGTTTTGTTAATACATGTGCACAATTTTTCAAACCTGCTTTTGAGACTGTTGCAAGCATCGTTTAGGTAAAACTTAGATTAAGTTTGGCAATCCATATGTGGAATGGAACACCTTCACTAAAACGACACTTATGGACTGGAATGGAATGTTAAATATCCTCAAGGAACCATATTAATCAATTTTTGTATAAATATGGTCAAATTATCTAGAAGTCCCTATACTACGGGCCAAATTACACATTTTAGGTCTCTATACTATGTTTCTCTTTTATGGGTTTAATTTTTCTATTATAATTTGATTTTTCTTTCATGCTAATCCTATAAATTAATTTGACGTGACTTTTTCTAAAACATATGATGACATGATATATACACACTAACATTTTTATATGATCTAGAGAATATTTACTAATTAAAAAAACTAGAAAAGAAAATTTTATACTACTATTTATCCAACTTAAAGGACTATTCCAAATATATTTTCAAATTTTCTGAAATATATATTCGGATGTTTTAAAAATAACAAGTCACGTCAAATTATTTGATAGAGTTAATGAAAAAATCAATTTTTAATACAGGGACTAAATTCAAAGAAAATGTATACTACATGACCTTTTTATAAAATTTGACCAGATAAATGTTGAAAGTCAGCTTATCGGTTCACCCAACACAGGCAGATAGATATTTCAGCGTCAATTCACCAGCATTAGATAAAAACTTGTCCTACAATTAAACTTGGTTGTTCCAACCTCCAATTCTACTAATTCTCCTTCAACAAAATGCAGCCAATGCTCAAGCTCTAGCTCCAACAATGGCGACTTGCTTCCACTCCAAACGCAGCATCAATGGCGAGCACGACTCCGTTGTTCTCTTCTCAACTTCCAATTCTCCTGAAGGATCCACCAGCCCTTCCTCTTCTTCTTACCACTCACCACCACCACCATCACATTCAAAAGCTTCACACAAACTAACAGTGAGAAACCTTTCCTATACAATTCACTTCAAAGGATCGATCCCTTTTTCGTTCTTTCACTTGGTGCGAAAGAGGCCTAAGCCTGTCGAGGTACTTAAATCGGTCGGATTCGTCGCGAGAAGCTCCGAGATTGTCGGCATCGTCGGTCCGAGTGGCACCGGGAAATCGAGTCTTCTTAGAATAATATCAGGGAGGGTAAATGACAGGGATTTTGATCCGTGTAGCATCTCCATTGATGATCATTTGATGACCAGTCCGGCTCAGCTGAGGAAGATATGTGGATTTGTGGCACAAGAGGATGATTTGCTTCCTGTACTCACTGTAAGAGAAACGTTGACATTCAGTGCCAAGTTCAGGCTCAAAGAGATGAGCTCGAAAGAGAAGGAAGAAAGGGTTGAGAGCTTGATGCAAGAGCTTGGCCTTTTACATGTTGGGGATAGTTTTGTTGGAGATCATGAACATAGAGGGATTTCGGGCGGAGAACGAAAAAGGGTTTCGATCGGTGTCGATATGATCCACGATCCTCCGATTTTACTCCTCGATGAACCAACTTCTGGCCTCGATAGTTCTTCGGCTCTGCAGGTGATCGAACTTCTTGCTTCCATGGCCAGAACTAGGGGAAGAACGGTTCTACTTTCGATCCATCAACCGAGCTATAGAATCCTCGGATTCATTTCCAAGTTCTTGGTTCTTTCTCGTGGATCCCTTGTTCATAACGGTAGTCTCGAGTTGCTAGAGGAAAACATACAGAGAATAGGATTTCAAATCCCGATTCAATTGAATGCTCTAGAGTTTGCAATGGAAATCATGCCTGCACTCGAAGCATCGAGCTCCAAATTCTCTGTTGTACAAGACAAGGAATCCTACGTATGGTCCGACGAAGAATGCAACAGAATCCGACAACACGACGGAGACAACGATGACAAACGAATGACAAGCTTTTGCTTCTCATCAAACATGCTCGAAATCATGTTTCTTTGCTCCAGATTCTGGAAGATCATATACAGAACAAAGCAGCTGTTCTTAGCAAGAACAATGCAAGCAATCGTGGGTGGATTCGGATTAGGAAGCGTCTACATAAAAGTACAGCTAGACGAAGAAGGGATCACCGAAAGATTAGGCTTATTCGCATTTAGTCTAAGCTTCCTCCTTTCGTCCACAGTCGAAGCACTCCCAATATACCTCCAAGAACGTCGAGTACTAATGAAAGAAGCCTCAAGGGGAGCCTACAAAATCTCCTCCTACATGATCGCCAACACCATCGTCTTCATGCCATTCTTGTTCGTCGTCTCGATCCTTTTCTCGATCCCGGTGTATTGGATCGTAGGCCTCAACCCTTCAGTTTCAGCTTTCGCGTTCTTCACATTCATTGTCTGGCTCATAATCCTGATGGCCAGCTCTCTCGTACTCTTCCTCAGCGCGATCTCTCCGGATTTCATATCCGGGAACTCACTCATTTGCACGGTTCTGGGATCGTTTTTCCTCTTCTCGGGCTATTTCATCCCCAAAGATAACATCCCAAAGTACTGGCTTTTCATGTACTATGTGTCGCTGTACAGGTATCCATTGGATGCGTTGCTGACGAATGAGTATTGGGGGATGAGAAATGAGTGCTTTTCGAGGGGAGTTTCGGGATGTTTGATGACGGGGAACGACGTTCTTAAGAGCAGGGGGCTTGATGAGGATTCAAGGTGGATGAATGTTGGTATCATGTGTGGTTTCTTTATCTTGTATCGTGTGTTTTGTTGGATCATTCTTGCTCGAAAGGCTTCAACCACAACCATATAAAATGATATGTACAATTTCCCACATAAATGTATTGTGAACCATTAATTTAGTAGAATAAGATTATTATGTTTTTATTTATTTATTATTCTAGTTATTTTTGTCATCAATGATTTTCCACAATTATTGTGTCTTCATTATTTCTAGGTTCATATTTACGTTTATACATTGATGAATGATTTTCAACTTTTTTTTTTTTGAGAAATTTTAAAAACATTATGTTGTTAATAATTAGTTAAAATTTTAATGATTGAATTAGAATTTTTTGGAAGCGCAAATAGACACTCAATAATTTATAATTCACACTATTATTAATAGGAACTAAATATAAATATGATACAAAAACTAATTGAGGCTAATTTACAAACACAACCCGTTATCACAGACTTTGCTAAACTATCCCTTGTATTTTTTCTTCTCACTTTCACTCACATTCAATTATATAAACTAAAACTATCAAGGCCTTTTTATAGGCAATTTAACCGCCTAAGTATGATGCATTTCCAATGCCGTGCTTTACTTCAATTTTGCAATTTAGTTGATAAGATTACTTCAATTTTACAATTTAGTTGATAAGCTTTGCATGTGCTGCTGCCAAGTTTTGTCGCTGCCGACTCTTTAATTCATTTTCCATTTGCCACGTTAAGCTTTGCCGCCTTAATCTTAATCTTTCATATGCCACGTTTAAACTGCTACCTTGTGCCTTGCAAAATCATCAAATTGTTTCCACGATTTCAAATTGCTTAATTACCAAGTACTTCTAGGTATGCCGACATCAAATTCTAAATCTGGTATGAATTCTAACACTCCTGCAAACCTATTGTTCATTCCAAGCTTTTCTTTGAGTCGATATCTGCTCTTAATGGTTTCATGAAAATGTATGTTAATTGATCTTTAGTTCTACAATAGATTAGCTCAACATTTTTGTCTTTATCTACTCTCGTATAAAATGATACTTTGTATCGATATGTTTGCTTCGGCTATTGGAAACTGGATTCTTTGCAAGAGAAATTGTAGACTTGTTGTCGACATAAATTGTAGTTGGTTCTTCTTGTATCAAGTTTAGCTCGTTCAAAATATTCTTTAACCATATTACTTGGCAAATGCACGCTGCTGCGGCTATATATTCCGCTTCACGTGTTGAAAGAGCTATCGTTTGTTGTTTCCTTGAAGATCATGAAAATATTGCAGAGTCGATATGAAATAAATTTCTTGAAGTGCTTTTTCGATCATCTAAGTCTCCCTCGTAATCATTATCATAATAGCCAACTAACCTTGAGCTTTCTGAATACCTGTAGAATAAACCATGACCTGTTGTACCTTTGACATATCTCAAAATTATGTTTGATGCAATCCAATGATCTTGTTTCGGGTCCTTCATGAATTTGCTTACCAAT